CACAGTGCTAGTCAATAGAGATTCAGAATGTGTAGGTGAGTTGACAGAGTGGTAGTCAATAGAGATTCAGAATGTGTAGGTGAGTTGACACAGTGCTAGTCAATAGAGATTCAGAATGTGTAGGTGAGTTGACACAGTGGTAGTCAATGGAGATTCAGAATGTGTAGGTGAGTTGACACAGTGGTAGTCAATGGAGATTCAGAATGTGTAGGTGAGTTGACACAGTGGTAGTCAATGGAGATTCAGAATGTGTAGGTGAGTTGACACAGTGGTAGTCAATGGAGATTCAGAATGTGTAGGTGAGTTGACACAGTAGTAGTCTATGGAGATTCAGAATGTGTAAGTGAGTTGACAAAGTGCTAGTCAATGGAGATTCAGAATGTGTAGGTGAGTTGACACAGTGCTAGTCAATGTACATTCAGAATGTGTAGGTGAGTTGACACAGTGGTAGTCAATGGAGATTCAGAATGTGTAGGTGAGTTGACACAGTGCTAGTCAATGTACATTCAGAATGTGTAGGTGAGTTGACACAGTGGTAGTCAATGGAGATTCAGAGTGTGTAGGGGAGTTGACACAGTGCTAGTCAATGGAGATTCAGAATGTGTAAGTGAGTTGACACAGTGCTAGTCAATGGAGATTCAGAGTGTGTAGGTGAGTTGACACAGTGGTAGTCAATGGAGATTCAGAATGTGTAGGTGAGTTGACACAGTGCTAGTCAATAGAGATTCAGAATGTGTAGGTGAGTTGACACAGTGCTAGTCAATAGAGATTCAGAATGTGTAGGTGAGTTGACACAGTGGTAGTCAATGGAGATTCAGAATGTGTAGGTGAGTTGACACAGTGGTAGTCAATGGACATTCAGAATGTGTAGGTGAGTTGACACAGTGCTAGTCAATAGAGATTCAGAATGTGTAGGTGAGTTGACACAGTGCTAGTCAATAGAGATTCAGAATGTGTAGGTGAGTTGACACAGTGGTAGTCAATGGAGATTCAGAATGTGTAGGTGAGTTGACACCGTGGTAGTCAATGGACATTCAGAATGTGTAGGTGAGTTGACACAGTGGTAGTCAATGGAGATTCAGAATGTGGAGGTTAGTTGACACCGTGGTAGTCAATGGACATCCAGAATGTGTAGGTGAGTTGACACAGTGGTAGTCAATGGAGATTCAGAATGTGTAGGTGAGTTGACACAGTGGTAGTCAATGGAAATTCAGAATGTGTAGGTGAGTTGTCAATGGAGATTCAGAATGTGTAGGTGAGTTGACACATTGGTAGTCAATGGAGATTCAGAATGTGTAGGTGAGTTGACACAGTGCTAGTCAATAGAGATTCAGAATGTGTAAGTGAGTTGACACAGTGCTAGTCAATAGAGATTCAGAATGTGTAGGTGAGTTGACACCGTGGTAGTCAATGGAGATTCAGAATGTGTAGGTGAGTTGACACAGTGCTAGTCAATGTACATTCAGAATGTGTAAGTGAGTTGACACAGTGCTAGTCAATGGAGATTCAGAGTGTGTAGGTGAGTTGACACAGTGGTAGTCAATGGAGATTCAGAATGTGTAGGTGAGTTGACACAGTGGTAGTCAATGGAAATTCAGAATGTGTAGGTGAGTTGTCAATGGAGATTCAGAATGTGTAGGTGAGTTGACACAGTGGTAGTCAATGGAGATTCAGAATGTGTAGGTGAGTTGACACAGTGCTAGTCAATAGAGATTCAGAATGTGTAAGTGAGTTGACACAGTGCTAGTCAATAGAGATTCAGAATGTGTAGGTGAGTTGACACCGTGGTAGTCAATGGAGATTCAGAATGTGTAGGTGAGTTGACACAGTGGTAGTCAATGGAGATTCAGAGTGTGTAGGGGAGTTGACACAGTGCTAGTCAATGGAGATTCAGAATGTGTAAGTGAGTTGACACAGTGCTAGTCAATGGAGATTCAGAGTGTGTAGGTGAGTTGACACAGTGGTAGTCAATGGATATTCAGAATGTGTAGGTGAGTTGACACAGTGGTAGTCAATGGAGATTCAGAATGTGTAGGTGAGTTGACACAGTGGTAGTCAATGGAGATTCAGAATGTGTAGGTGAGTTGACACAGTGGTAGTCAATGGAGATTCAGAATGTGTAGGTGAGTTGACACAGTGGTAGTCAATGGAGATTCAGAATGTGTAGGTGAGTTGACACAGTGCTAGTCAATGGAGATTCAGAATGTGTAGGTGAGTTGACACAGTGGTAGTCAATGGAGATTCAGAATGTGTAGGTGAGTTGACACAGTGGTAGGCAATGGAGTTTCAGAATGTGTAGGTGAGTTGACACAGTGCTAGTCAATGGAGATTCAGAATGTGTAGGTGAGTTGACACAGTAGTAGTCTTTGGAGATTCAGAATGTGTAGGTGAGTTGACACAGTGCTAGTCAATGGAGATTCAGAATGTGTAGGTGAGTTGACACCGTGGTAGTCAATGGAGATTCAGAATGTGTAGGTGAGTTGACACAGTGCTAGTCAATGTACATTCAGAATGTGTAGGTGAGTTGACACAGTGGTAGTCAATGGAGATTCAGAGTGTGTAGGTGAGTTGACACAGTGCTAGTCAATGGAGATTCAGAATGTGTAAGTGAGTTGACACAGTGGTAGTCAATGGAGATTCAGAGTGTGTAGGTGAGTTGACACAGTGGTAGTAAATGGAGATTCAGAATGTGTAGGTGAGTTGACACAGTGCTAGTCAATAGAGATTCAGAATGTGTAGGTGAGTTGACACAGTGCTAGTCAATAGAGATTCAGAATGTGTAGGTGAGTTGACACCGTGGTAGTCAATGGAGATTCAGAATGTGTAGGTGAGTTGACACCGTGGTAGTCAATGGACATTCAGAATGTGTAGGTGAGTTGACACAGTGGTAGTCAATGGAGATTCAGAATGTGGAGGTTAGTTGACACCGTGGTAGTCAATGGACATCCAGAATGTGTAGGTGAGTTGACACAGTGGTAGTCAATGGAGATTCAGAATGTGTAGGTGAGTTGACACAGTGGTAGTCAATGGAAATTCAGAATGTGTAGGTGAGTTGTCAATGGAGATTCAGAATGTGTAGGTGAGTTGACACAGTGGTAGTCAATGGAGATTCAGAATGTGTAGGTGAGTTGACACAGTGCTAGTCAATAGAGATTCAGAATGTGTAAGTGAGTTGACACAGTGCTAGTCAATAGAGATTCAGAATGTGTAGGTGAGTTGACACCGTGGTAGTCAATGGAGATTCAGAATGTGTAGGTGAGTTGACACCGTGGTAGTCAATGGACATTCAGAATGTGTAGGTGAGTTGACACAGTGGTAGTCAATGGAGATTCAGAATGTGGAGGTTAGTTGACACCGTGCTAGTCAATGGAGATTCAGAATGTGTAGGTGAGTTGACACAGTGCTAGTCAATGGAGATTCAGAATGTGTAGGTGAGTTGACACAGTGGTAGTCAATGGAGATTCAGAATGTGTAGGTGAGTTGACACAGTGGTAGTCAATGGAGATTCAGAATGTGTAGGTGAGTTGACACAGTGGTAGTCAATGGAGATTCAGAATGTGTAAGTGAGTTGACACAGTGGTACTCAATGGAGATTCAGAATGTGTAGGTGAGTTGACACATTGGTAGTCAATGGAGATTCAGAATGTGTAGGTAAGATGACATAGTGGTAGTCAATGGAGATTCAGAATGTGTAGGTGAGTTGACACAGTTGTAGTCAATGGACATTCAGAATGTGTAGGTAAGATGACACAGTGGTAGTCAATGGAGATTCAGAATGTGTAGGTGAGTTGACACAGTGGTAGTCAATGGAGATTCAGAATCTGTAGGTGAGTTGACAGAGTGCTAGTCAATGGAGATTCAGAATGTGTAGGTGAGTTGACACAGTGGTAGTCAATGGAGATTCAGAATGTGTAGGTGAGTTGACACAGTGATATTCAATGGAGATTCAGAATGTGTAGGTGAGTTGACAGAGTCCTAGTCAATGGAGATTCAGAATTTGTAGGTGAGTTGACAGAGTGCTAGTCAATGGAGATTCAGAATGTGTAGGTGAGTTGACAGAGTGCTAGTCAATGGAGATTCAGAATGTGTAGGTGAGTTGACACAGTGGTAGTCAATGGAGATTCAGAATGTGTAAGTGAGTTGACACAGTGGTAGTCAATGGAGATTCAGAATGTGTAGGTGAGTTGACACAGTAGTAGTCAATGGACATTCAGAATGTGTAGGTAAGATGACACAGTAGTAGTCAATGGAGATTCAGAATGTGTAGGTTAGTTGACACATTAGTAGTCAATGGAGATTCAGAATGTGTAGGTGAGTTGACACAGTAGTAGTCAATGGAGATTCAGAATGTGTAGGTGAGTTGACACAGTAGTAGTCAATGGACATTCAGAATGTGTAGGTAAGATGACACAGTGGTAGTCAATGGAGATTCAGAATGTGTAGGTGAGTTGACACAGTAGTAGTCAATGGAGATTCAGAATGTGTAGGTGAGTTGACACAGTGGTAGTCAATGGAGATTCAGAATGTGTAGGTGAGTTGACAGTGCTAGTCAATGGGAATTCAGAATATGTAGGGAAGTTGTGACACTAGTTGACGGGGGGAGTGTAGAATGTACAGGAAAAGATGAATGCCACATTTTGAATAAATACAGCATCAGATAATTAGTTAGTACAATGCCGCAAAGGTAATGTCATTTACAAATTGTAACTATGCAAACTGTTTTAGTTTCTGGTCTTCCTTCCCGACTTTGTTTAAAAACCAATCTGTAATACACACAGACACAGTACGATGACTTTATTGGCAAGAATGTATATGTATGAATAGCTGTACACACAATTCTCCCCATGTACAACAATATGCTGACATGACATGTATATATATGCTGTACCTGCTGAGATGAATAAATGGCACTATGGCAATCAGCGCGTATATGATATGAATATGCTTGATGATGTCATAAAAGCACCCAATTTCATGAGACAATTTGACCCTGTCTCCAGGGCAGCCTCCCTTGCCTGCTTTAGTCAACACATACGAGGTCCACATCGAGATGAAGTCAGTCACAGAGAACACGACCACAAGCATCAATGAGTATTTTAACGGGACAACACAACAGCTCGCTGTCCGGCAAACGTTGCTGGGAGTGCGCGTGTACAGTTACTTCCACTACGCCCTGGATGAGCTGCTGACAGTGGTTCCTCAGGAAGGTAGGTCCAAACAGAATTCATAATATTAACCTCCCGTGAAGAGCCGGGGTAGAATAGGTCTTCAGCAACCCATGCTTGCCGCGAAAAGCGACTCTGCTTGTCGTGGGAGGCAACTAACGGGATCGGGTGGTCAGGCTCACTGACTTTGTTGATATATGTCATCGTATCCCAATTGCGTGGATCGATGCTCATGATTTCAATCACTGGATTGTCTTGTACGGACTTGATTATTTATTGACCGCCGTCATATAACTGGCATATTGCTGAGTGCGGCGTTAAACAACAAACAAACAAACATAATACCAACTCCGTTAGGCAGCTATAACCTCTATTCTATCTACTGAAGTTTGCATTTGCAAAGAGTGAATGAGTGAGTTTGGTTTTACGCCGCTTTTAGCACTATTCCAGCGATAACGCGCCGGGGAACACCAGAAATGAGCTTCACCCCTTATACCCATGTCGGGAATCGAAGCTCTTTAACCACTAGGCTACCCGACCGTGCCGCATTCGCAAGGAAATATTTTGAGCATAGCCCATTTCCTCCATATAGCAGTGTGCGTGCGTGCGTGGATGCGTGCGTGCGAGTGTGTGTGCGTGCGTAGGTACGTGTGTGAACCAAACAACCCATTGTCTGGTACTATGAGTAACTATCATGCCGTCGGTTGAGACTCGATTATTTACAGACCGCATTCATTTAGCTGGAATATTGCTGAGTGCGGCTAAGCAACAAACAAACAACCCAAACCACCCGCTCGATTGCACAGGAGAGATAGCTTCACGATAGCCATGTGCCTCTACTGTTCTAGACCATCGGTCAGCCAGTCCAGAAACAAGTTTCCTAGCCCAGAGTCGATTACTGACAAGTGTATTATTAAAAGGTGTAACAATTCAAAGCCGATCTTCAGACACGACCAATGAGAATCTCGTGTGTGACCCCGAGATAATTTTCTGTGACCTTCCTGATGGTAGTTACCCTACCCCAGGTGTGATCCCGGGGGATCTATGGCCGCGAGACGGGCGCACGGGTGGCCCAGTCGTCTAAGGTGCAGAGTTGTGTCCCTTGGGCACGCCAGAAACCTATGATTGTGGGTTCGAATCCCGGTTCGCCCCGATTTTGTTTCTAGGTTCGTTAACACCATACCCGTGCTCGTGGGTATCACCGAAGTGATTACCGTCTGAGACCTGCATCGTTTCGGGCTTTCCTCCCACATTAAGCTGACACGCCATGATATAACTGGACTTCTGTTAAAAGCGGCGTTGGGGCGGTCGGGTAGCCTAGGGGTTAAAGCGTTCGCTCGTCACGCCGAAGACCCGGGTTCTATTCCCGACATAGCTACAATGTGTGCCGGAAGCCCATTTCTGGTATCCCTGCAGTGATATTGCTGGAATATTTCTAAAAGCGGCGTAAAACCATACTCACTCACTAAAAGCGGCGTTACCTGGTTTGGTTCAAGAATAATTGAAACAAGGATTACACAAACTATCTTTGCTTCACCGACGTGACTGTAAAAGACTGTTCTAACTGGTAACTATCTGGTATAAAACTGGAATACTGTTAAAAGCGGCGTTAAACCACACTCACTCCACTCACTCACACACGATTGTTGCATCTTGTTGGATGTGCCATAAAACAACATGCACTCACTCCTTCTTTCCAGGAACCTGCGTAGTGACGAATATATCAACTTCCAAGTTGAGCTACCTATTCGGTGACCATGGCAACGCCTCCAGTATCCTCCAGCTCGGTCGAGACACCACCCAGGTGTATCAGGGAACAGACACGGTGAGGGGGATACGCGTTCGGAAGTGGTGTTCCTGTCAAACCTGGGACGCTTTTAACGCAACCATGAATGTAACATGGTACTTTTCAGGTGAGGCTGATAATAATAATAATAATAATAATAATAATAATAATAATAATAATTACAATAATAATAACAATAATAATAATAATTTTATAGTAATTAAAATAATAATAAGTCCTTTTCTAATGACATCGGCATGTCCTTTGGACTCGCCAAATGCAACATTCTTCGTCTGAAACGTGGCAAGGTAGAAGAGGGAGGATCAGTCAGTTTACTTGGAGGAGGAGTTATTGACCATCTTGTGGAAGGCCTATATACGTACTTAGGGATGCAGATCAGGGACAAACTCTAGAATGCCCATATCAAGAACGAACTTCGGGCAGAGTACAAATGTAGACTTTAGAAAATCTGGAGTTCAAAGCCACAAATAATTATGCTGTGCCCGTCCTTTCGTATTCTGTTGGTGTTGTTGATTGGACAAAACAAGAAATTCAGGGTATTGACACCCTCACACGAAGAATCCTGTCAGACAATAGATCCCACCACCCTCGCTCTTCCCTAAATCGCTTATATTTACCAATCATTATGGGAGGGCGTGGTTTGATTAACGTTGGGGCTCTTCGTAATAGAATTGTTTTGTGCACTTTTGCACACATTTATTTGTCTGATGATCATCTTGTGAAGCATGTCAAGACTCATGATGAAAACAAGGTATTCCTCAGTTTTCTAAAACGAGCCAAGGATGTGGGACAGAATCTCAATGTCGGTGTTGATTTTGTTGATGGCTCTGTACTGCTGGACGGTACAGAAATGAGTGTCAACCAAGTGCTATATCAAGTCGGCCCAGACTCAGGCTTTCTGAACGACCAGTGCATCGAGTTTGTGTGCAGTTTGATGAGAAGATCAGCAATACTGCAGAGTCCTTTGCTTGGAAGAAGTCGTCTGACCTGTAAAGTGAAACGGAAGGCTTTCTGTTTGCTGCTCAGGACCAGTCACTTCCCACTCGAACCAGTCAATGTGTGATTTTGCATTAAAATGTAAATATGAAATGTAGATTATGTTATGAATGTAATGAGACTGTCCAACACATTGTCAGTGGATGCCCAGCTTTTGCACAAACACAGTATCTAAAACGACATGATGGTGTAGCTTGATCATTTTATTACCGTCTTCGCCATGCTTGTGGTTTTGACACAGAGATCCATCCATGGTACGACCCCGAATATGTAGAGGGCGTCATGGAAAATGATAAATACAAAATCCCTTGGAATAGGCCCATTTACAGCCTCAGACCTATCTAGGCCTAAAAAAACCGATCTTGTCCTTTTTGATAAATCCAATGAAATCATTTATATCATTGAATTGTCTGTCCCCTTTGACACTAATGTGATTGACAAGATTAAGGGAAAAACATGGCAAATATGCGGACCTCGCTTTCGAAATGTCACGCTTGCATCCCAAGTACCAAGTTTCCCGACTCCCCATTGTTCTCGGTGACTTAGGTTCGGTACTGTTGACTGACATTGGGAGAGTACCCGGGTTTGCTAGCAGGAATACAGCCCTTCTGACAATCTGGGTAATGCAGAAGGCTGCAGTGGTGGGGTGTCTTCACATTCTCCAAGAGGTTCTGGGTGGGTTTGTCTAGACAGCGCTTCCTGGAAGTCCCATGTAGAGGGGGCAAGGGCCCTGAGCTGATGATGAGCCTAAACAGCCTGAGTGTGCCAGGATCACCAAAACCCTCTTTCCTGCATTTTTTATTTGTAAATAATAATAATAATAATAATAATAATAACAACAACAACAACAACAACAATAACAACAACAACAATAACAATAATATTTCATTCTCAGCTCCCTGAGGAGTATACAGTCCGAGCTGCCTGTTTGGCGGTGGAAGCTTAACATTCACATTACCTTGAACACATGCATGCGCTCCCTGCAGTCAGTTACTTTTCCGAAATAAAAACGTTTTACCGGATTGAGGGAATCGTGCTTGAGTTTTACCGCAGCTACTATGACTTCCTGTATAAATGACGTAATGTATCCATGATGCATTGTTTCTGACAGATCCAGCTTCGTGGGATACTGGAATTGGCCTCGAAGCAGTTCCTGTTCGAGCCTGGGTTCAAGGTCACTCAGGTCATGCCGGTGGCCATAAATACTTCGAACAAATCTTCGACATGTTTCACTTCAATGATTTGATTACAACAAAAGACGCTCTTCAGGTACTCAAACAACGCACTGCATTTTCAAACTCCCTTTCTTTGACTCGGTCCCACTGTGGTCCACTGGATCGGTGGACCTGATGTCTTGGCTGATTGAGTGTTATGGCACCCCGAAGATGTTCCTCGTAAGAACAATGACTTGTTTCTTTAGACGAGACTCGATTATACAGACCGCCATCAAATAAGTGGTATATGGGTGACTGCGTCGTTGAGACGTCTTTTGAGATATCCCTAGATGCTGTTGCTTATTAAACAATATATACGGAGTATATGCATTATAGTCTCATAATGCATGGTGGTGGCTGGGACAGCAGAGGTGTGTTACATATATATTTAAATTATGTATCGGTGTAAGGGTGTAAGGGTAACTCAACTCATTTGATGATATATTTTCAAAACATATTTGTAATTTCTGAACGCATATGTTCTGTAAGAGGGAAGGCCGCAATTCGCTGTGCAGTGTTGCGTCGCTTGGGCACTCCAGAAACCTATGATCTTGGGTTCGAATCCCGGTTTACCCTGATTATGTTTCTAGGTTTATCAGCACCACACCCGGGCTTGCGGGTTACATTGAAGTGGTAAACGTCTGAGACCTGCATCACCCTCCTCCCACATTAAGCTGACACGCCGCGATATAACTGGAACATTGTTCAATCACTCACTCACTCTAAAATACTGTATCCGCACTTGCTTGTTGACAAACAGTTTATTCAGCATCTGATGTCATCTGTATACAATTCTTCGTAACTATTGTCTTTGTTCGACAGGTGCCCGATCTCATCTACTGTGGCGGGCGCAGAGTACACAAAGCGATGCCAAGTATTCCATCCTCGTTTTCAGTGCAAGTTGAACTGGTGGAGACAAATACGAAACTACTCAGTAATATTGAGGTAGGAATGAACATGGACACTTATTTTTACGTGATGGAGAAATCAGGAGAATCTGTGGAATCGGAATGTAGAATCAACGCGCACCCACAGATTCGAGTGATGGATGCGACTTAAACCATGTTATGGTTGATATAGAGATGTTCCATAACACAATGACCTGTAGTTGGCAGCTGACACTGAACTGCCCGCTCAGATGACCAGTGCATTCCTCGCTCAGAATCAAAGCGTGACGTCATGTTAATTGCTGACAATGTTTACACTGTCCACGCCGGGTGTTGCGGGTATGCCTCTTTGATAAACCTAATCAGTAAATAAACGCGACCAATCCTTTTCCATATTCACAAGCGATCTCTGCCACAGAAAGATTCCGACTTTACCATGAGGAAGTGTTTATGACTCACCATCGACTAATGATACCAGGTGTTCGCAAAAAAGCTGAGCGATTCTTGCCTCACCGCAAAGGCAAGTCAATTATTCACTTGAAAAAACACGGGAACCTAAGGCAAAATAGGGAATTGCATCTGACATCATTTTTGTCACTGATGCGTCAAATAATAGGTCACCGATAATAATCAGTAACATGCACAAATATAGACAACGATACGAAATCGCTTTCCCCCTCTCACAAACATTCCCGAAACATTGCGAGTTTTCCTGGAATGCGCGCATTAATATTTATTACGTCACAGGGTAACTGATGTGTCAGTCGGACAGTGACAGTAGACAATATAGTTCCAACTGAAATCTATTTCTTATACAGTGGCGAAGCAACATATACGCAAAACAACAATTGTTTTTAATTGGCTTTCGCGGCAATCCATCGGTCTGTCCGCAAGAGTAACTGCCCTTTGTCAAAGGGAAGCTACTCTAACCCTAGTCTATGATACGTCAAGGCCACGGTCAGACGTTGTTGACAGTCGGCCTGTCCCATCATAACGTTAAGAAGTGAAGTCAGATGTACACACAGCGACAAAACAAAACAAGGTAACAATTCAAACATATTTCGGCCAAATCCAACTTTTTTAATTTGTGGAAAAGGTTTCAAGCCGCAGAGGTCTACAAGCATAGATATGGCTACTGATCCCGATTGGCTAGCTCGCGTGCCCTCGCAAAATTGTTTCGAAATTTATATCTCCAAAGTTGCCAATGCCTAAGCTACGTCACAGTTAGCCACTGATTTTCAGTATATTATAATTAGACTGTTCTTTTAATTATGATAGCAATTATCCCTGTAGTTTATCCAGATTCCCGATGGTTAATTCTGACTCGATCGCCGAATAACGAGGCGACGCCATGTTTGTTTATAAACGGTGAAAGTAGTCCCTACATGACCTTTGATATTTGCATCTCTATCCGCACATGACCCCAAAGGATATGGTTTTTATCCGTTGGCTTTCTCCTGCTGAGAAACCTACCCATTATATGATAAAACACAATCCGTTAACAGCCAGTCAGGAAACGGTTGTTCAGTCGTGGGGATTGTGGATAAACAAACTTAAGAAAAATGCTGGAATGCTTGAAAATGCCTTAGAATCATATTCAATGTATTTATTTATCAAACGTGACATTAAAGATTGCTGCTTGTTGCGAGATTAACTAAACATTGTCCATGCAGCAATACCTGTCTTCAAGATCGGGGAGACACACATAAAAGGTTTTTTTCAATTTTATGTAGATTTGGCTGGACACACAGATGAAACTTGGTAAACACATTTACAACCAAAAGTCGGCTCATCTGGCGAACATACAGGATTTCAACACAGGTGGGTAGAATGTTTCACATGAACTTGCCAAACATGTCCCATTGCCAAGACAACCCGTGAAGATACGGGGATGAGTAGGTCTTCAGCAACCCATGCTTGCCGTAAAAGGCGACTGTGCTTGTCGTAAGAGAGTGGTCAGGCTCGATGACTTTATTGATGCATGCCATCGATCCCAATTGCACAGATCGATGTTCATAATGTAAATAACTGGGGTGTCTGGTCCAGGCTCGATTATTTGCAGACCGCCATGATATAGCTGAAATATTGCCAGGAGCGGCATTAAACAAATAAAAAATTAAAAAATATTGCTATCAGGCTTTAATTCTGTGACATGGATGTGTGATCAGGGCGAAACTTTGCATTCTCTCCTCCATTATGTGAAAGTCTCAACATTTACCTTGTCGGGTGATGGGGTATTAGATTTCAAAGCCTTCAGCATCGCGTCCAACGAAAGGGTTCCACTCCCTTTTTTTTCCAAGCACAGATTTGAGCATTTTTGGCACAACGCGAACCCCCGACACTCCGCTCTCTTGGCAGACGCTCTAGACGGTTTTTGAAGACGTTAATCGCAGGTGCGTTATTTGTTTGCCTGCCCCCCAAAAATCAGTTTAAATAGGTCATATCCTGGTACTGTAACTACCTGGTGGGTGTAAGTATGTTTATGGCGTTCTTTTGTAGGTGTGGCCTACGTCATGGACTTGGAACGGGGCAACTGTAGCGTTTCCCCCATCGGCGTTCATGACGCCACTACAAACAAGGGGCGGATCCAGACAGCGGCGCAGGCGTTCATGATGGACGTCACTGACGCGGTCTACACAGGAGTTGTAAGATTGAAGTATACGTTAGTTGTCCTGTATAGGGTGTGTGGATTTCAACGCACGAGGCGTTAGCCTAGACTGTTAAATCCATGTCATCCGCGGGGCGCGGTGGGGTAGCCTAGTGGTTAAAGCGTTCGCTCGTCATGCCGAAGACCCGGGTTCGAAACCCCATATGGATATAATGTTTGAAGCTCAATTATGGTGTCCCCCGCCGTTATATTGCTGGAATACTCCTTAAAGCGGCATACAACCATATTAACTCACCCTACATGTCACCCACATACACAAGTGGGCTACGAACACGGTGCACTCACACTAAACAAAGCCTCTCAGGTAAATGGAATCGCCCAGCCTCGACACCTTGATATTCAGGGTAATTACGATGAAAACAACCTGTTGAAACAATGAAAACACAAATAACAACACAATATATATTCCTGTGTATTTGTTTTTTGTTCTGTTCCCCCCCCCCCGGCTCACCCTCTCTCTCATATTCAACCAATAATCTACCATCGTCAATGTTGATGTAAATGACTTGTTTCAGGAAGCTATTCGAGGCATATCGACCGATGTGTTCGTGGCTACCCGCACTGACTACCCTCCTGAAATGCCCCAGAATACCACACTGGAGTGGTTCTTCTCACAGGTAAATGACTTCAGTGAACAATTAACTTAAGCGATACGAAATACAGTTTATTGTTTTACATGTGAAATGGGTGTGGAGCAATGGTGCCGACACGAAACAAATGTGCCTATGTTCTGGTAAAAACCTTTTCAGTGTTTTGTCTATAATCATGTTAATATATGCAACAGAAAGAAGGTACATCGCTGGCAGCAGGGACCCTTCTGCAGATGAGGATGAATATGCCGCAGGTAATAAAAGAATTATTATTAATAATAATAATAATAATAATAATAATAATAATAATGAGTGAGTGAGTGAGATTTAACACCGCTTTGAAAATCATTCCAGTTATTTACATCGTGTCAGCTAAATGTGGGAGGAAATCCCGAAGTGATGCAGGTCTCAGACGTTTACCACTTCCGTGAAAGCCACGAGCACGGGTATGGTGCTGACAAACCTAGAAACATAATCGGGGCGAACCGGGATTCGAAACCACGATAGGTGTCAGGGGACGCAGCTCTGCACAGCTAATTGTGGCGCCTTTGCCGACTTGGTCACCCCATAATAATAATCTTTATGTTGCTGCTGCTGCTGCTGCTCCTGGTGATGATGATGATGATGATGATGACGATCATTTAAGCATAGGATCCTGGGATCCAAATCTACACTGGATACAGAGTCTTTGATCTGTGATTGCAGATAGCAGAGAAACTGCTCTACAACCTGTTTTACCTGACCCCCTACAACACCGACCTGAACACGTGGGACGTCAGCTCATGCTACCAGAATCTCCCCAGGCGTGTGTTCCAGTTCTCCGTGTCGGGTATACCTTACTTCACCTCAACGTATACGTTTCAAAGGATAAAAGAGTGTCTATTCTTGTAGAACCTGAAAATACGCCCCAGCCTTATTTTGTTCGTAATTTCATATTAATACAAACGTGTTCACAATAAACGAGTGAAAACAATTTTGCATAACCCATCTTCCTGAGGCAAGGGAGTTATCTAACCGTAGAAGTCCAGTTAACACCCTTGCCGAACAAGGCTGGGATTTCTGGGCTCAATCGCAGCGCCACCCGAGGTTATTACGAGTTATGTCCCTTCTATGTCCCTCATATTGACCAATCAGATGCCACCTCTCATATCACTTGCATTTGCTTTATCAATAATCAAAATCTATATTATAATAAAACGGGTCTACATGGCGAAGTGTATCAAATCACGTGAGTGACTTGATTAAAACATGAACAGATTTGGAACGTATCTGTTGACGCCGATTTGGCGGTCAACATGTCTTTTGCTCAAATTCTTTCAATCGACGGGGCGGTCGGGTAGCCTAGTGGTTAAAGCGTTCGCTCGTCACATGGAAGACCCGGGTTCGACTCCCGACATAGGTACAATGTGTGAAGCCCATTTCTGGTTTCCCCTGCCGTGATATTGCTGGAATATTGCTAAAAAACCATACTCACACACTCACTCTGCAATCGACCGAAATCAGCACGGCAGTTTACGAAGTGGATGTCGATTTTGTTACGCGATTTTAAATTGGGCTATCCATAGAATCCATAATTCCAGCCAAGTTCGGCAAGGGTGACTTTTACAGTCAGTTAGAGTTAACTCCCTTGCTGTTGCGGAGAATGGGTCAGGTGTATTTATCAGGACAGAATGAATAAATACCATTCCAGGTTAGTCGAGGATGGTTCAGAAGAGATAGATGATCTGTTTCTGCTTGCTCCAGGTACATACGGTGACCAGATACAAGCTAGTCCTGATTTGTTCAAGTACGCCGTTGTCCTGTCTGTCATGGGTCAAACAGGCGTGTCTCCGCTGAGGATTGCAAACGTCCAGGTGCAGTAGTAATTTAGCCATAGCTTGGATTGTTTGTGTCATATTCTAAGCGCGGGCTTGGGGATTGTTTATGTCATATTCCAAGCGCGGGTTGGGGATTGTTTATGTCATATTCTAAGCGAGGGCTTGGGGGATTGTTTATGTCATATTCCAAGCGCGGGCTGGGGACTGTTTATATCATATTCTAAGCGCGGGTTGGGGATTGTTTATGTCATATTCTAAGCGCGGGCTTGGGGATTGTTTATGTCATATTCTAAGAGCGGGCTGGGGATTGTTTATGTCATATTCTAAGCGCGGGTTGGGGATTGTTTATATCATATTCTAAGCGAGGGCTTGGGGATTGTTTATATCATATTCTAAGCGCGGGCTAGGGATTGTTTATATCATATTCTTACCGCGGGCTTTGGGATTGTGGAAAGGAATAGTTGAACAAAAATGATAAACGCTCCTCCTTGACAGGTTTGATTGTCTTGAAAGGTTTACAAACAGAAACTGCCTTCACGCCCAATAGAATCTGCTTCATCGAGAATCCTGTGGGATTGCCTGTGGTATTGGCATTTTGTCTACGTGTCCTGATGAGCCTGGTCTTTGTTCTTGCTATCGGTCATTGGTTCTGCTTGCCAAGACGTGATTACGTCACCGTCACCGTCATGTAGCTGTAATATTCGTGGCTGATGTCTGACCAGCTGACCACTGCTGATGCGGCATAATGCAATACTCACTCTCTCACTATTAGGGGCATGTTGACTAATGACATCCAAATTGCAAAACGAAAGTTTGTAAATATTTGTAAGACATTGTAAGTAACGGTTTGTGGAGCACATATACTGAACCCTCATATTTTGAGGAAAAATAATGCGAAATTGTGTGCTGAATATCCCCAAAACTATTCATGCTCCCTTATTTGTTCGGTTGTTCGGTTCAGTATATAATAAACATTGACCACGTGTGCAATGATTACCTGGCGATGGCGGGCCTGATTAAGCTAGTCGTGGTGAATGTTTTCAGCTGGAGAACAAGAAGGAATTCCTTGTCAATTTTGACATGCTGGGAGTGGCACCCGTCCCTGTTAGGGCAAATGTGACACAGACACCGCTAGGTGTCGCTGGCGATATGTTACGCCACGCGTTTCACCAGAACAAGTTCTCCGTGTATCTTCCCGACACGAACAAGGTAAGAGACACTTGATTGGAAACGAACAAGTATAGGACTTCACTACTACTACTACTACTACTACTACTACTACTACTGCTACTACTACTACTACTACTACTACTACTACTACTACCACTACTACTACCACTTTAATGAATTGCTGGTCAACTCAACTTGAGATGTTTTTGCAGGGGCAGGTGGAGGAATATGTCAAGGCGATTCTTTTAGCCCTTTGCTTTTCTGTTTGTCACTAAATCCTTTAAGTTTTTTTGCTCAACAAAGAGGAAGGTTATCATCCTGGACCTCCTCAACACAGATCCCAAACACCCCTTACTCACCTCCTTTACATGGATGGCCTTGAACTTATTGCCAATGGAGGATCCTAACTTAAAAAACGAGTCCTGCTAGTTGATCCTTTTCCTATGATATCGGCATGTCCTTTGAACTCGACAAACACTCTTTATCTGAAACGTGGCAAGGTAGAATAGGGAGGATCAGTCAGTTTACTTGGAGGAGGAGTTATTGACTATCTCGTTGAAGTTCAGGCCTCCACGTACCTAGGGATGCAAGTTAGAGATACATTCATAGTCGAGTCCTGTTCTATTGATGTCAGCTTGTCCTTTGGACTCGACAAATGCATCATTCTTCATCCGAGATGTGGATAGAGGGAGGATCAGTCAGTGTGGGTTTCAAGAATTGAGGACGTCAAATCATTCTTCAACTTCATCATTTATTCTAATTCTTAGTTTCATATTCTAACAGTTTCTTGTTCTAGTTGAAGGGTGCCGTTGCCACGAAATACTAAGGTAGCGCTGTCGGCTTGATTGACTGCAAAATAATGCAGAAACGTCTATGAATATACTAATATTTAGACGCAAATATGAAAATAAACGGCCACTTTAATAATGTCTTACTTCTCAGTTACTGAAGTTTTGTATTTAATTGCATAATTACCGTTTTATAACCTCCACGGTCCTCCGCTCACAGCACAGTCTCTTGCACATAGCGATACCAACAACAACATAAAAGTTACTTCCCTTTACAACTTAAATGAAGACCGCTTAAATATAAAATTAATCCAAACAATTGATCAGAATCCAACATTCCGACCCCCTAATTGTGGAGTACGAATGAAACAATTATACTGTTTAACATAACTGATCTTTTGCACATAAGTAAGATTCTTGGAATACATTTGCATGTGTCTTTAATGTCATTATCAAAGGCATCTTTCATATGCCACATTCTAGCTGTTAACTGAGTCACTGTTCACTTCCAGAAGTACACAGAGTTTGCTTATGGGACGCAGCACAGTTGATGTGGGTGTTTTGATCCTCACAATGCGAACAAATCCTTTTTTGTCGGCATACACTTCGACTACTCGCCCAAGGCTCCATGAATTTCGAGGCAAATTGTCCATGACCAAGACAATATCATTTACACTGATGTTCTTTCTGACACGAGTCCATTTTACTCTTTCCTGTAACATGGTGAGATATTCCTTTGACCATCGCTTCCAGAATGAATCAGACAGATACTGTATCCGCCTCCATTGTCTTTTGGCGTAACAGTCGTCTGCTCTAAATAGTCCTGGAGGTAGTGCTCCACCACTTCGAAGCATTAGTAGATCATTGGGTGTCAATGGTTTCAGGTCCTTGACATCATTTGTCACAGTGGTAATCGGGCGACTGTTAACGATAACCTCGACCTCGCAGAAGAGAGTCTGTAGACCATCGTCATCTAAATGTATGACTTGACTGTGCAGAAGAGAGTACAAGATCCTCCTTATGGTACGTATCATGCGCTCCCATACCCCACCGTGATGAGAGGCGGATGGAGGATTGAACTCCCACGAAATGTTCCTCTGGAGGAAAGTCTGATGCAGTTGTTCGATATTCCATAAGTGTATGTCTTCTCTCATTTCCCTCTCACAGCCTACTAGATTCGTTCCATTATCAGTCCAAACTTTCTTGGGATGTCCTCTTCTTGCAAAGAATCGTCTGAAAGCATTGACACAAGAGCTTGTATCGAGGGAAGCGGCCAGCTCAAGATGCACTGCTCTCAAAGCCAAACAAGTGAAGACTACCCCATAGCGCTTCACATTTGAACGACCCCTTTTCACCACAAAGGGACCAAAGAAGTCAACGCCTACACGTGAGAAGGGTGGTTCGCCCGCTGTCAGCCTATCTACAGGTAAGTCTGCCATTTTCTGTTCTTTTCTCTGAGCACTGCACCTTCTACAAATAACACATGTAGAAGTAATCTTTTTAATAAGATGTCCCACTCCTTGTATCCAATATCGTTGGCGCAGGTACGTCATCATAGCAGCTTTGCCCATGTGCCCCATGGATTCATGAGAATCTTGTACTATCAGTTGAGACACAAAGCACTTTTTGGGCAATATAATGGGGTGCTTTACTTCATAAGGTAATGAAGCCTGACTCAACCGTCCACCAACTCGAAGCAGTCCATCCTCGAGGAACGGATCCAATTTACGAATTGACTTGTTCAGTCTTGATTCTTTGCTTGGGTTTTTAAGAGCACTGATGATGTCATGGAAATACTGCTGTTGGATGTAACATAATATGGTGACCTCAGCTTTCTCCATGATTTTGACTGTCAGGTGACCTCTAGATTTCTCATCTTGTACTGTCACTTTGGTTTTCTTACTCTTAGTTAAGTGTTCAGCACACTCTTGAGTTAGTTTTGCTGATTCTTGTTTCTCTTTCAATTTCCTTTTCAGATAATCCATGAAAAGGAGGAACCAACCTACAATCTTTTTCAGTTTCAGCCAGGATGAACTGTAGTTCAGCAGTCTGTTCATAATGTCCACAGATTCATCTGTCACCGTAGCAGCCACTACAGGCTTCATTTCAGGGTCATCTTCTGGAAAATTGTCACAAGCCTTGATTACAGAGGGCCATTCCTCTTCGGATTCCCAAAGAAAGGTTGGTCCCTTGAACCACTGATCCATCTTTAAGAATGTGGCCATCCTCATGCCTCTTGAAGCAGCATCAGCTGGATTCAGTGCAGTTGGAATGTGTTTCCATTGCCGGGGATCCGAACCATCTCGGATAATAGTGATTCTGTTAGCCACAAAAGTCTTGAAACGTGATGTTTCATTGTTGACATACCTGATAACAGACATGCTGTCTGTCCAGTAATAGATATCAGTGAGTTTGTACTGAAGTTCCTTCTGGAGAATGCGACTTAACCGAACTGCTACACAAGCTGCTGTCAATTCAAGCCTTGGTGTAGTTACTTTCTTTATGGGCGTTACTCTTGCCTTGGCCATTACCAGTGAGCAATGAACTTTGCCCATCTCATTCTTCAACCGGAGGTAAGCTGTGAGACCATACCCTTCGTTACTAGCATCTGAGAAGATGTGCAGTTGACATGCCCTTACCGTTCCAAAGTCTGAAGGTTTGTAGCATCTTGGTATGGAAACCTTTTCTAAGAGGGGAAGATCAGCAATCCACTGCTGCCACACAGTGAGCTTAGTACCTGACACCTCTTCATCCCATCCAAGTCCTTGACGGCACATGTCTTGCAGTAGAATCTTTGCCTTGAGTACAAAAGGTGAAACCATGCCTAATGGGTCATAGATTGAACTGACGACTGATAAGACATGTCTTCTTGTACAATCGGCATATTTCACATTAACTTTGAAGCCTAAGGAGTCAGTGTGCACTGTCCAAACAACTCCAAGGGCTCTTTCCTCTGATCCAGTTTCTAGTTGATCTAGATTGAGATCTTTCACTCCTTCAGCTCGGTCTTCAGGCAGAATTTTGTCGAGAACTTCTGCACTGTTGCTTACCCATTTAGTAAGTCTAAATCCACCCTGCTGACACAGAGAACTTACCTGGGTCACACAACTAACAGTCTTGGTTACATCTTGCTCAGAAAACAAGCAATCGTCCACATAGAAATTGTTCCTTACAATTTCTGCAATCTCTGGTTCATACTTTTCTTCATTGTCATTAGCGGTCTTCAAGAGGGCTGCATTTGCACAACTAGGTGACGATGTAGTACCAAACATGTGGACTTTCATCCTGTACTTCAATGGTGGATTTCCGTAGTCCCCGTCTTGCCACCAGAGAAACCGCTGATAGTTCCAATGAGCCTTTGTTACCCAAACTTGGTAAAACATACTCTCTATGTCTCCCTTGGCAGCTACATTCTCTTGTCGAAATCTCACCAAAACACCTATGAGGTTATTTGTCAGATCAGGTCCGGATAGTAACTGTTGATTGAGTGAAGTACCATTGTAAGTGGCTGCACAGTTAAACACAACCCGCAACTTCATCTTCTTTGGGTGGTACACCCCATGGTGGGGGATGTACCACACAAGTCCATCATCTGGTTCTGGTTCATCATCTGGAATGTGTTCAGCATAGCCCTTCTCCAACATTTTATTCATGAAGTCGGTATATTCCAAACGAAATTTGTTATCCTGTTCCATCTGCCTTTTCAATCCCATCAAACGCTTGAATGCTAAGGAGTAGTTGTTCGGGAAACTAACTTTCTGTTCCCTAAAAGGAAGAGATATTTCATAATGTCCATCACAGAGTTTAATGGATTCATCGACTCCCTTTAGGAATACTTTATCTTCCTGAGAGTGCTGCTTCTCATCATCGATGATCCTCTCGGGGAAATCTATGTTGAATGAGTGTCGCACCATCCTATCTAGCTGTTTGAACTCCTCGCATTCATGAACTGCAACATCTGTTCTGTTCACTGTGCATCTTATGGATTCCAAACATCTGGTTGCACTCGCAGGTCTTGTCACATTCCACAACGCCCAACCAAGTCGGGTTCTAGTTGCATGTGGAGCATGATCGGGTCCAGTACGTACCTCTATAGGTGTGTAGGCATCTGCGATATTGTTGCCTATCATGATACCTATTTCAGCTTCTATGATTGGTATCTCTACGTCTCTGAGATGAGTCCAATCTTTTATGTCATCTGAAGTTGGAATATGAATCTTTGACACTGGCAACTTCTCAACAGTAAACATCTTGGGAAGTGCAACATGGTTTTCCATGGCGAGATTGCAAACTTGCATTCCGGATACAGCATAGGTGTTGATAGTTCTAGGTTTGCCCATACTGTCAATGTTCAGCTTCATTGGCTTGCCACTTGCTCCTAACTGTCTCATCAATGATTCAGTACAGAAAGACGCACTGCTGCCTGGGTCTAAAAAAGCATAAGTCTCTATGGCTCTTAAGCCACCTTTCATCAGAACCTTCACAGGCATAATCACCATAGTGCACGTGCCATCTGTTTCTAGTCCGACCCCCATATCAGAACTCAGGCAAGAACTTGTCTGTATCGTATCATGTTGAATCACTTGAGCTTCTTCACGATGAAGCAGTGCATTATGTCGACGCTGGCATTTTGTACATGTGATATTACTTCTGCAATCCTTGCTAAGATGTCCTTTTCTGAGGCATCGAAAACAAAGTCTTTTACTTCTGATAAAGTTCACTATTTCGTCGTACGACAGAGCAGTGAATTTTTCACATTCACTCACAAAATGCTGGTTTGATTCACAACATAAACACTTTCTATCTGCAGGCGGTGGCTGACCTGTTTGTTTCTTACTTGTCTGAGGTTGAGGTGATGCTGGTGATCTTGGAACCTGTGAACTTTGAGGGGTATTCACTTCTGTTGCCAAAGTCAATTTTGTTCGTGAAAGTTGGTTCCTTGTTTTCAAAGTAGCCCTGTTAGTGTTTCCATGTTTGTCCTTGTTCTGCAATGCATCTTTGCCAAACATTGGGTCATTCGCTTTCCATGATTCCTTTCGAACAAACTGTACCAGATCTGAAAATTTTACACTTTTTCCTGAAGCACGGATGCTTTGGATCCTATTTCTGAATCCTTCTTGGTAATGATAGGGTAGCTTCGTAATCAATCTCCGGATGTTTTCTGTATTGTCAAGAATGTTGCTTTTAACAGCGTTTTCACATTCAGACAAGAATACGGCGTACTCATCCAGTGCTTTTGAATTGTCTGCTCTGATGTAGGGCCATTCTAATGCCTTTTGAATAAAAGCATTCACTATCACATCTTCGTTTCCATATCTCTGCTGAAGCTCTTTGATTGCGGCAGGATATCCTTGTTCCGCATCTAAATAACCATAGCTACTCACTATGTTGCGAACTTCTCCAGATGTGAACTGTTCCAAATAGTTTAGACGTTCATCAAAATCATCAGTGTTCACAAGTATCTTGGTCTTGAATTGTCGCATAAACTTTCGATACTCCAACGGATTACCACTGAACACCATGAGATCTGTAACTGGTTTCCTCAACTGCCGAATTACTGTAGCAATTGCACTATCAGATGTAGTGCTCATGCCCAAGGGATCTTGTGTCATCTGCTGAGTTGGAAAATTTACAGGTGTTTCTGCTGGTGTATAATATTTCATTTCAGGAAGTGACTCATTTTCCTTTTCCCTGTCACGTGTAAACCTTGGAACTGCAACACTGTGAATGTCACTAACCAAAGGATCCCTGTCACTAAAATCCATCGGTTGTCGAGTGTTTTGTTTACCAAAACCAGTACTTTGTCTGCTGCTATGTTCATTTTCAAAATCGTACTCATCTAGTACCTTCCATCTTGCATCAGAAATTGCCATCTCCGTCTTTATGTCCAGCTCTTCTTCCTCCATTTTCAACCTCACTTTTTCCACCTCTAACTCATGCTTCTTTTTTAATGCAGCAGCTTTGACTAATAACTCAGCCTTCTTCTGCTCTTCTTTCAGGCGTACAGAAGACACGTGTGAAATAGAAGATGATGATCTGCGAGATCTGATACTACTCTTTGACAATTCTGATGCATAGTCATCCATATTTGATTGCTGTCTTCGTTCAAATTCTTTATTCTGCATCCATCCAGAAATATTTACCCTAAAATTCTGAAAACCATCTATTTCAGAGTCAAGCATAGACAAGTCATCGAAATATTCCTGTGGAACATCCACACGTGACAGCACAAGTGCAGAATAATTAGCTCTTTCTGTCAGAATATCCTCAAAAATGGTTAACCAGTTCACATAAGTCTTGCGAACCTCTTCATATGCAACCGGTTCATCTGATTTCAAGATTCTGTCAACAGTGTTTCCAACTACAAACAACTTTTTGCACAGAGAACGAATTAATTTCTTCTTAATGTCTAGTGAATACATCAATCCTTTCGATGTCATTGTTATTTTCCGTTTTTCTGCCTCAGTTTCCATAGTATGAGCACTCAAATGCCATTCTAAATCTGTTTGTGCTAAATCTGAGAAGTCCAAAGACAAAACAACAACTTAGTTTGGTCAGACTGTATCTTCGGCTGCTCGAGCGAGACGCACGTTGTCTACTAATGACTGGTGTGGCGAGGTCGAACTGTAGATAACCACATGGCTAAAACGTCAATTTTGTGGGTTTCAAGAATTGAGGACGTCAAATCATTCTTCAACTTCATCATTTATTCTAATTCTTAGTTTCATATTCTAACAGTTTCTTGTTCTAGATGAAGGGTGCCGTTGCCACGAAATACTAAGGTAGCGCTGTCGGCTTGATTGACTGCAAAATAATGCAGAAACGTCTATGAATATACTAATATTTAGACGCAAATATGAAAATAAACGGCCACTTTAATAATGTCTTACTTCTCAGTTACTGAAGTTTTGTATTTAATTGCATAATTACCGTTTTATAACCTCCACGGTCCTCCGCTCACAGCACAGTCTCTTGCACATAGCGATACCAACAACAACATAAAAGTTACTTCCCTTTACAACTTAAATGAAGACCGCTTAAATATAAAATTAATCCAAACAATTGATCAGAATCCAACAGTCAGTTTACTTGGGGGAGGAGTTATTGACCATCTTGGGGAAAGTCAGGCCTAAATGTACTTAGGGGTCCAGGTTAAGGACAAAATTCAGAACAAATGTACAAATGTAAAATTAAAGCCACAAATACTTACCCTGTACCCGTCCTTTCATATTCTTTTGCTGCTGATTGCTGCCACGTGCTTGCAGCTTAACTATTACTGGCTGCAGATTTAGATAAACATTCTCTAGCTGAAACTGTTCATTTGTGTTCTCAGCCCTTCCTCATCACCCCAGTCCCGAATTCCTTCAAAGAAATCTCTGTGAATGGACCACCAGCTGCGTCCACTCCATCGCACATGACGGCACCAACAACTGCGTCCACTGTTATGACGATACCAGCAACGGCCTCAAGTCAGTGATAGTTTCATTTTAAGTTGACAACACGTACGCCAAGAAGACGACACGTGAAGGTCTGGGGTAGTACAGGTCTTCAGCAACCCATGCTTGCCGAAAAAGGCGACTATGCTTGTCGTAAGATGCGACTAACGGGATCGGGTGGTAAGGCTCGCTGACTTGGTGGATGCAAGTCATCTTGTCCCAATTGCGTGGATCGATGCTCATGATGTCAGTCATTGGAGTGTCTGGTCCAGACTCGATTATTTACAGACCGCCGCCATATAGCTGGAATATTGCTGAGTGCGGCGTTAAACAACAAACAAACAGACCAGCCAGCCTAGAAGACATAAGGGATAAGGGTGCGCGCCTTATTCCGTTTCTACTCCAGTGACGAAAATATGCATCGCGTAGCTATATATAGATATTGTAATCTAGGTTTTGATAAACACTGACTTCTAAGCAAATCGAGCTGTGAAATAGTATTTTTGTAACTCAGTCGTAAGAAAAAGGGACGAACCTACTCTAAAAGCTCTCAATCTAAATAAACAAGATTGAAGCCTGTTTAATCTGCGCAGCGCTTGCGATTTCGGCTTCGCTGTGGGGAGCCCAATAGTTTTTGTTTGAGAATTGAACGGGGCATATGACGTCTCACTCGGAAATTATTTCACGCATAATTTAAAAAACGTTTAAACAGTCGACATACTGTACTTCAATACATCAAAAGAGTGAGCTTCTTGAGTCGCTTTGTAATGTTCCAGCAATATCACAGCAGGGGACACATGGGCACACATATACTCTCATACATGAGAATGGGCCAATGGCGTGAGCCTCTTAAACATGAAATAATCTTCCTTTGAATATCCGTAATTTAAATACTATTTGCAATGTCCATGTGTTTATTTTTGTTGTGTAGAAACTTAATAAGAATATAGATGCCCAGCAATCCATGCTTGTCGTACGAGAAGACTATCCGGATCGGGTGGTCAGACTCGCTGATTTGGTTGATGCATGTAATCGTATGCCAATTGCGAAGATCGATGCTCATGATGTCAAACATTGGAATGTCTGATCAAGACTCGATTATATACGGCCCGCCGTCATATAGCTGACATGTTGCTGAGAGCGGCATTAAACAACAAACAAACAAATCTAATAAAGACACAATTGATTTACAGATTACGTCCCCTTGCCCAGCTTCCCCTTCGTGTATGACGTCATCATTCAGAAGATCATGCCGGAAATACACATGTCCACGGAAACAGCCGAGGCTTTCAACAACACAGCCAATCAGCTGTCCCAACGTCACAAGGCAGAGGGCGCTGTCACGCAGACCATCATAAATCTCAGCAACAAGGAAGTCCGCACAATCAACATGCAGAAGAGTAAGTACGTCGGATGTCGTGAAACAAAGAACCAGATTATATATATATACATATATTTCTTTCGGGGGTGGTGGGTAGGTGGTTGGTGGGGTGGGAGTGGATTTTGTTTATCGCCCCGTTGAACAGTATTCCGGTTATATCACAGCAAATCAACTTGATTGGTTTCTCCTTTGTTCGAAATATGCATGCCTCTCGTCATGATCTCCCAGCAGTGAATGGGTACCCGGTAGGTTGAGGTGGTAATATGTTTTTCTCTAGCGCCTCACATGCAGCTAGTGTTGTATACTCCCCAGAGAGCTGAGAATGCACATCGAGTGCACGCTCATCTATTCCCCGGGGTAATACTGTACCCCTTCTTAGTGCATGTGGCGCATTAGAAATATGCACATTTCATCTCCGAAGGAACCTGCAAGGTATCAGGGCTGGGTGCGGGGAACTTGTCGGATCTCGTCGGCTACACGGGGGACGCTCAGGGCAAAGGGAGGATATTCTCCCTGGCTGGCACCTTCCTGTACGACAAGGGCCGCAACTACACTTACGTGGGCAGGGACGTCATCAGGGGCATCGCGGTCAGGTCGTGGTCGGTGACCAACATCAACATCGACGGCGACAACAACAACAACATGGACGTCATGTGGTATTTCGCAGGTAGGAGGGACGGTGAATGTTGTTTCAGCTACAATCTCCAGAACTATTAACCAGCGTTAATGGATGCTGGAGTTAACCAGTCGACGTCCACGTTATAACCACGTCGTCTGTAGTCGATGTGTCGTTTGTAACAACTCGACCATCAGTGTGCACTCTACCGGGCTACGCTTAAGCAATACGTAGTTATGCCACTGCTCATTTACCTCAAGGTTTACGCCTTGTACTCGTGTGTGGATTTTATCCCTGGTCGTCCGTGAGGCTGTCCAGCTGGCTACCCAATGGCCCGCGACACCAAATTCTGGTGTGTGTGTACGTATGTATTGTAAGTTCGACAAATATGATATTATGTACGATAAAATTGGACAATTACCCTCATTGCCAGATTATTTTACGCGTATGATATACACCCACACTCACACATGATTTTTCCATTGTTAGAAATGCTGTTTAGTTAGTTAAATCAACATGAAATTCGCCAGACATCTGTGAGGTGAATTATTTCCTGAATTGTTCTCCATGAGAAGATCTGGTCTTGTGTCTCAGACCCTAACGCCTGGGACACCGCTCTGAACTGGCCTAACGCCCCCGTCAGGGCCACAGTCGTGGGGGAGGACGAAAGGGTGACGCCCACTCTGGATTATGTGAACATCTACAACTTCTTCCACTTCAAGAACTTCCTGCAGATCGACGACCCATTTGAGGTAAGGGACTGTCATTGGATACTTGGGAGGAGAGTGTCATTTTTTTTTAGAAGCTAAATACTTTTTTTAACCGAGCTCATTTAGTTCATCTTCCCGAGGCAAGATAGTTAACTGACTCTTAAAGTCCAGTTTCTAACCTTGCCGAACTTGGCTGGAATTTCTGGGCTCGACTGTAGCGCCACCAGTTGCTACAACGAGTTATGTCCCTTATATGCCCTCCTTTTGTCAAATCAAATTCCACCTCTAAAATCACTTGTATTTGCTTCAAAAAAAATGGCGACGCTCAGTCAAGGCGATCTGTTTGATGATCAAGATATATAGTGTAAAAAAACGGGTCTTACTTCGCGACGTGCATCAAATCACGTGAGCATTTGATTAAAACCATGAAAACATTTGGAAAAATATGACGCCCGGTTGACGGTATAAATCATTTGCAAATCCTACAATCGACCAAATCAGCATTTTTAAATCTATGTTGTTTACGGACCGGATGTCGATTTCGTTACGCGATTTTGATTGGACTACGCAGAGACTCGTTAGTCCAGCCCAAATATAACTCCATGAGCGCTGCCTAGTTCGGCAAGTGTGGAAACTGGACTTTAACAGTCAGTTAACTCCATTGGACCGGGAAGATGCATTTAGTTGAGCATGTCCAGAAACACTGGCATCACCTGCCACTGTCAGTGACTGAGGAGGTGTTAACGCTCCACGTAAACCGCAAAGCATAGAAAAGCATCGTAAAAATTATGTGGAGAGGCTCACACGAACATGAAACGTATTTATAATTAGTTGTTCCATAGCCATAACAATACAAATATAACAATTTACGAATAGATCGTTTGCAAGAAAGCGATTAATATTTTTCACATTCACCGAGAGTTTTATATCAAGGTTTATACACACCACTTTTGATGTAGAGTGGCAATTGATAAAAACAGGATGTTGTCAGGCTTTGGTTTCATGTTGTGATGGAGGGACAGGGGCGTGATACAGATGCTCAGTCTACTGTGTTGGAGAGACAAGGGCGTGATACAGATGCTCAGTCTACTGTGTTGGAGGGACAGGCCCGTGATACAGATGCTCAGTCTACTGTGTTGGAGGGACAGGGGCGGGATACAGATGCTCAGTCTACTGTGTTGGAGGGACAGGGGCGTGATACAGATGCTCAGTCTACTGTGTTGGAGGGACAGGGCCGTGATACAGATGCTCAGTCTACTGTGTTGGAGGGACAGGGGCGGGATACAGATGCTCAGTCTACTGTGTTGGAGAGACAGGGGCGTGATACAGATGCTCAGTGTACTGTGTTGGAGGGACAGGGGCATGATACAGATGCTCAGTGTACTGTGTTGGAGGGACAGGGGCGTGATACAGATGCTCAGTCGACTGTGTTGGAGGGACAGGCCCGTGATACAGATGCTCAGTCTACTGTGTTGGAGGGACAGGGGCGTGATACAGATGCTCAGTCTACTGTGTTGGAGGGACAGGGGCGTGATACAGATGCTCAGTCGACTGTGTTGGAGGGACAGGGGCGTGATACAGATGCTCAGTCTACTGTGTTGGAGGGACAGGGGCGTGATACAGATGCTCAGTCTACTGTGTTGGAGGGACAGGGGCGTGATACAGATGCTCAGTCTACTGTGTTGGAGGGACAGGGGCGTGATACAGATGCTCAGTCTACTGTGTTGGAGGGACAGGGGCGGGATACAGATGCTCAGTCTACTGTGTTGGAGGGACAGGGGCGTGATACAGATGCTCAGTCTACTGTGTTGGAGGGACAGGGGCGTGATACAGATGCTCAGTCTACTGTGTTGGAGGGACAGGGGCGGGATACAGATGCTCAGTCTACTGTGTTGGAGGGACAGGGGCATGATACAGAAGTTCAGTCTACTGTGTTGGAGGGACAGGGGCGTGATACAGATGCTCAGTCTACTGTGTTGGAGGGACAGGGGCGTGATACAGATGCTCAGTCTACTGTGTTGAAGGGACAGGGGCGTGATACAGAAGCTCAGTCTACTGTGTTGGAGGGACAGGGGCGTGATACAGATGCTCAGTCTACTGTGTTGGAGGGACAGGGGCGTGATACAGATGCTCAGTCTACTGTGTTGGAGGGACAGGGGCGTGATACAGATGCTCAGTCTACTGTGTTGGAGGGACAGGGGCGTGATACAGATGCTCAGTCTGCTGTGTTGGAGGGACAGGGGCGTGATACAGATGCTCAGTGTACTGTGTTGGAGGGACAGGGCCGTGATACAGATGCTCAGTCTACTGTGTTGGAGGGACAGGGGCGTGATACAGATGCTCAGTGTACTGTGTTGGAGGGACAGGGGCGGGATACAGGTGCTCAGTCTACTGTGTTGCAGGGACAGGGCCGTGATACAGATGCTCAGTCTACTGTGTTGGAGGGACAGGGGCGTGATACAGATGCTCAGTGTACTGTGTTGGAGGGACAGGGGCGTGATACAGATGCTCAGTCTACTGTGTTGGAGGGACAGGGGCGTGATACAGATGCTCAGTCTACTGTGTTGGAGGGACAGGGGCGTGATACAGATGCTCAGTCTGCTGTGTTGGAGGGACAGGGGCGGGATACAGATGCTCAGTGTACTGTGTTGGAGGGAAAGGGCCGTGATACAGATGCTCAGTCTACTGTGTTGGAGGGACAGGGGCGTGATACAGATGCTCAGTGTACTGTGTTGGAGGGACAGGGGCGGGATACAGGTGCTCAGTCTACTGTGTTGCAGGGACAGGGCCGTGATACAGATGCTCAGTCTACTGTGTTGGAGGGACAGGGGCGTGATACAGATGCTCAGTGTACTGTGTTGGAGGGACAGGGGCGTGATACAGATGCTTAGTGTACTGTGTTGGAGAGACAGGGCCGTGATACAGATGCTCAGTCTACTGTGTTGGAAAGACAGGGGCGTGATACAGATGCTCAGTGTACTGTGTTGGAGGGACAGGGGCGTGATACAGATGCTTAGTGTACTGTGTTGGAGAGACAGGGCCGTGATACAGATGCTCAGTCTACTGTGTTGGAAAGACAGGGGCGTGATACAGATGCTCAGTCTACTGTGTTGGAGGGACAGGGGCGTGATACAGATGCTTAGTGTACTGTGTTGGAGAGACAGGGGCGTGATACAGATGCTCAGTCTACTGTGTTGAAGGGACAGGGGCGGGATACAGATGCTCAGTCTACTGTGTTGGAAAGACAGGGGCGTGATACAGATGCTCAGTGTACTGTGTTGGAGGGACAGGGGCGTGATACAGATGCTCAGTGTACTGTGTTGGAGGGACAGGGGCGTGATACAGATGCTCAGTCTACTGTGTTGGAAAGACAGGGGCGTGATACAGATGCTCAGTGTACTGTGTTGGAGGGACAGGGGCGTGATACAGATGCTCCGTCTACTGTGTTGGAGGGACAGGGGCGTGATACAGATGCTCAGTCTACTGTGTTGGAGGGACAGGGGCGTGATACAGATGCTCAGTGTACTGTGTTGGAGGGACAGGGGCGTGATACAGATGCTCAGTGTACTGTTTTGGAGGGACAGGGGCGTGATACAGATGCTCAGTGTACTGTGTTGGAAAGACAGGGGCGTGATACAGATGCTCAGTGTACTGTGTTGGAGGGACAGGGGCGTGATACAGATGCTCAGTCCACTGTGTTGGAAAGACAGGGGCGTGATACAGATGCTCAGTCTACTGTGTTGGAAAGACAGGGGCGTGATACAGATGCTCAGTGTACTGTGTTGGAGGGACAGGGGCGTGATACAGATGCTCAGTCTACTGTGTTGGAAAGACAGGGGCGTGATACAGATGCTCAGTGTACTGTGTTGGAGGGACAGGGGCGTGATACAGATGCTCAGTCTACTGTGTTGGAGGGACAGGGGCGGGATACAGATGCTCAGTCTACTGTGTTGGAGGGACAGGGGCGTGATACAGATGCTCAGTCTACTGTGTTGGAGGGACAGGGGCGTGATACAGATGCTCAGTCTACTGTGTTGGAGGGACAGGGGCGTGATACAGATGCTCAGTCTACTGTGTTGGAGGGTCAGGGACGGGATACAGATGCTCAGTCTACTGTGTTGGAGGGACAGGGGCGTGATACAGATGCTCAGTCTACTGTGTTGGAGGGACAGGGGCGTGATACAGATGCTCAGTCTACTGTGTTGGAGGGACAGGGGCGTGATACAGATGCTCAGTCTACTGTGTTGGAGGGACAGGGGCGTGATACAGATGCTCAGTCTACTGTGTTGGAGGGACAGGGGCGTGATACAGATGCTCAGTCTGCTGTGTTGGAGGGACAGGGGCGTGATACAGATGCTCAGTGTACTGTGTTGGAGGGACAGGGCCGTGATACAGATGCTCAGTCTACTGTGTTGGAGGGACAGGGGCGTGATACAGATGCTCAGTGTACTGTGTTGGAGGGACAGGGGCGGGATACAGGTGCTCAGTCTACTGTGTTGCAGGGACAGGGCCGTGATACAGATGCTCAGTCTACTGTGTTGGAGGGACAGGGGCGTGATACAGATGCTCAGTGTACTGTGTTGGAGGGACAGGGGCGTGATACAGATGCTCAGTCTACTGTGTTGGAGGGACAGGGGCGTGATACAGATGCTCAGTCTACTGTGTTGGAGGGACAGGGGCGTGATACAGATGCTCAGTCTGCTGTGTTGGAGGGACAGGGGCGGGATACAGATGCTCAGTGTACTGTGTTGGAGGGAAAGGGCCGTGATACAGATGCTCAGTCTACTGTGTTGGAGGGACAGGGGCGTGATACAGATGCTCAGTGTACTGTGTTGGAGGGACAGGGGCGGGATACAGGTGCTCAGTCTACTGTGTTGCAGGGACAGGGCCGTGATACAGATGCTCAGTCTACTGTGTTGGAGGGACAGGGGCGTGATACAGATGCTCAGTGTACTGTGTTGGAGGGACAGGGGCGTGATACAGATGCTTAGTGTACTGTGTTGGAGAGACAGGGCCGTGATACAGATGCTCAGTCTACTGTG